GGCATGTCTCCAAAGTACAATGGAATTAATTATATTTTTAGAGTTTTCAAAAAAAAAAAAAAAAGTTTAATATGAGACATACTGTTTTTTATTTGTTGCATATGTCTGTTTTCATACTCTTCTCTACTTGTGACAGGGGAAACTGGATGGTCACCTAATAAATCCTCCTGTTTCTGATTTTGTTCACAGTCTCTTTTCTTCCCTTGCTTTTGTAAGTATCTGTTTGTTCAGTCTGTTTGCATTGCAGTCACATTTCATACATTTTTTTCATTATGCAATGAAAATGGATGAGCATACTTTCAGAAAAGCTGTTTTGTTCTCCTGAAGCTTCAGAGGGTGAGTCAGTAGGACCCACCTGACCTGTTACCTATTTACAAAACCATAGCAATGTTTTAGAAAGCACAAGTTGTATAAGCATGTACAGTTTTGTATTGGCATCTATGGTTCCATGGAGAACCTTTTACATCCATGGACATTTTCCATTACACAGAAGGTTCTTTATAGTGGACAAAGGTTCTTTAGATTTTCACAGTGTTCTTCACACTAAGAAAAATGGGTTCTTTTAAGAACTGTTCACTGAAATGTTGTTTGGGGAACCCAAAATGGTTCTTCTATGGTATCGCAACAGAAGGTTCCAAAAGTTTCCCCTTTTCAAACTTTTATTTTCAAGAGTGTACTTTTTGTCCAGAGAAAAGGCTTTACTTTTGATGATTTAGCAACTTGTTCACCACTGAAATCTTACAATATATCACACGGTTAAAGGTCAGGAGATGCACCATATCAGCCTTCATCACACTCAGTTCCTGACTGTTTCTTCATGCTTCAGATGGTGAGTCAGTATCCTCCCAACATCCCTCCCACGGTGCTGAGTCCACTGCTCACAGAAAAAGCCCTGCACCTCCTGGGAAGATCTGTCACACCAAATGAGGACGTACTGTGGAGCAGTTTGGGTGATGCGTGGAGCATCCCAAGGTCTTCTATTCTACAAAAAAACGTCCTCACGGATTAGCAAACAAAGGAGAAAAGCTCATGATTTTTCTGTTTTTTTTTAAAAAATCAGATCTAAATGGCCAAACGGGGATCAGATCCCTCCATATTATCCCAAATTTTATGATGGTTGGCAGCCTCTTCCACCTGGCCCTTCCCAGTCCCCTCCCGCCAGCAGGCAGCTGTCACGGAGCAACAGTGAGCGCGTCCCACCCGGGAACGCCATGCAGAGGCCACCTGAACAGGTAAATGCTCTCAGAGGGCAAACTTCAAACCTGATTTAAGCATGAGGATGTCATAAAATGCGTCAAGTGTTTGACATATACATCCTAACCTAAGGTATAATAAAGTGAAATGAGTACAAATTGCTGTTTACCCTCTCTTCAAGGACAACAGACCCTGGAACGCCCCACCCATGCGGTGAGACATATCTTGTGAACTCCCTTTGAAATTCCCAGATAATATAAAGGCAGTTGTGACAGCAATATAAAACATTGTTTATTTCACTTTATAAGTATGTAGCCTTTTAATGGACAGATGAGTTCACTAAAGAATTTAAGAGGTACATTTCAAATCAAGTCTAGTAACATTTTTGTCTTATTTTATACCAGGTCAGCTGAGCCGCCAATCTACATGAGGGTGATCTATGACTTTATGGCAAGAAACAGTCAGGAACTGAGTTTGATGAAGAGTGACATGGTGCAGGTAATCACCTGACCTTTAACATATTGATATTTAAAAACACACCCCACACAAAGGAAGTTGTGCAACTTCAGGGTGAACAAAGTGACTAAATCAATACGTTTTTTGGCAACACTTTTCATTTAAAGTCCCACTCATAGTCGCGGGAAGTGGGGGTGCTGAGGGTGCTGCAGCACCCCCTGTTTTTTTTTCTGTGGGCAACTGTTTAACTGTTGGGAATAAAAAAAAACATTAAGTGCAAATAGCACGCCTTGTTTGCAGAAGCTATTTACACTAACTCCACCCACCAACGTGTGATTGGGTTAGTCAACATTACAAAAGACGGTCATCAATAGTTAGATTCAGTGGCGTAGATGGTAGAGTGTGTGTCATACTCTTTTTGACACGATCGACCCGGGTTCGAATCTGCCTTTTGGCTAACTTTTTTTCTCCCTTTTCAAATTTCAAATCACATCAGAAAAACATTTAATTT